TAACTAAATGGAGGGCTGATGCAGTTGATCAGATAATTAAAAAAAAATTAAAAAACCTGATGCTCCCTCTCTCCTCTTAGGGTTCTAGGAAAAGTTCCAACCTTTCTTCTTCTCTCTCTTTTTGCACCATCACCTAGCCTCAAGACACCATTACAGTCTTGAGAAAGATAATCCAAACACTTGGTATCCTCTTCCTTACATGCGCCTAGCCAGCCACCGAGGATAAGGAGGGATCAAGGAGAAAGAGTTCTCGCTAGCAAGAAGGAGATAAGCGTCATCCGCGCCTACAAGTGAAAAAGGTAATTCTGTAACCCCATATTGTTTCAACGTAAAGCATTCATACATGGGGTGTATAGATGGTCTATGCTTCCGCTGCGAAAATTTTTGTTTTTCCACCCATGTATGCGCTCCATAGTATGACAACGATAAGGATGAGCTCAACGCCTTTTTTAGGGCGGCTATCCTCGATTTGTCTTTCCCTACAATAAGCATGTTGTCAACATATAACAACAAAATCAAAAAATCTCCTGCCTCATACCTCTTCACAAATACGCAGTGGTCGGCTTCTGTCTTCTCAAACTTGTGATCAGTCATGAATGATTCAAACTTCTTGTACCACTGCCGAGGTGCTTGCTTCAAGCCATAGAGGCTCTTCTTCAACCGACATACCAAGTCTTCTTGGTCTGGAGCTCGGAATCCCTCAGGTTGTTCCATATGTATTTCTTCTTATAAATACCGTGAAGAAATGCCGTCTTCACGTCCATTTGTTCTACCTCGAGGTCCATCGAAGCCGCCATAGCTAACACAGTTCGGACCGAGGTCATTTTCACCACAGGAGAAAAGATCTCCTCAAAATCTACACCTTTCTTCTGATTGCAGCCTTTCACTACAATCTCGGCTTCAGCCCGTTCTCTTCATTCTTAAACTTGTAGACCCATTTGTTTTTTAGAGCTCGTCTTCCTTTAGGCAGCTTGGTCAGCTCATAAGTCTGATTCTCGTGCAAAGACTTCATCTCGTCATGCATTGCCTTTTCCCATTCTTCTTTCTCTGAGCTCGTAACAGCCTCATCATAACTTTGAGGCTCACCGTCTTCAGCAACAACGGTGTATTCATCAGATGGGTATCTTGTAGAGGGCCTTCTTTCTCGAGTTGGATTTCTCGACTGTTCTTCAGCATGAGAATCCAATTCATCATTCTCATCCCGGATCTCATCATCAACTCGGACCTCAGTTTCTTGGTCATCATCAGCTTGTTGTTGGTCATCATTTTCTTCATTTTCTTGATTTTCTCCCCTTACTTTAGCTCGAACAGGAGGGATGGGTTCTTCACGTCTAACAATAACCCAGACTTTGGGCTTCGAGATGTCATGAATGGTCTCATCTTCATGAAAGATCACATCTCAGCTTCTCACTATCTTCTTATTGATTGGATCCCAAAGTCGAAACCCAAACTCACATCTCGGCGAACCAAGATAGATGCATTCTTTTGTCTTCGCATCAAGTTTTTCCCTTTCATCTTTAGGAATATACACGAAAGCTCGGCATCCAAACACTTTTAATTGAACATAGGCCACTTTCTGACCTGTCCAGACTTCTTCTGGAATTTCTCCTTCAAGTGGTCGTGACGGTGAAAGGTTGATCAAGTCAACATCAGTTCTGACAGCTTCTCCCCAGAATGATTTCTGCAATCTGGCATTGGATAGCATACTTCGGACATTCTCTTCAATATTCTGGTTCATCCTCTCAGCAAGTCCATTCAACTGTGGAGTCTTGGGGGCGTCTTTTCAAGTCGGATCTCGGCCGCTCTGCAGTATGCATCAAATAGGCCGCAATACTCACCACTATTGTCAGATCAGACCACCTTCAATTTCTTTCCAGTCTCCCTTTCAACCAATGCATGGAATTCTTTAAAGGATTGGAGTACCTGGTCTTTAGACTTCAACAAATAAATCCACACTTTGAGAGAGTGGTCATCAATGAATGAAACAAAATATTGAGCTCCTCCTAGAGATCTCTCCGACATGGAGCAAACATCAGTATGAACGAGGTCAAGAATATACCTGTGTCTTCTGGGTTGATCCGGTCTCATAAAAGAAACCAGGTGCTACTTTCCAGCTAGGCAGTGCATGCAACTCTCCAACGCTTGGCCTTTCAACCTGGTCAATAATCCTTTCTTGTTCAGGATTTGGAGCCCTTTTTCACTCATATGGCCGAGGCGTTTGTGCCATAGCTCCAAGCTAGGTCCATCTCGGACAAAATTGGCTTCTCCGCCATTGATGCTTCCTTACATCACGTACAAGGAGCCTTCCTTCTTACCTCGGGCAACAACCAAGTTTCCCTTGGCCAGCTTCCATCTAACACTACCGAAGTAGTTCACTAACCCGGCATCGTCAAGCTTGCCTACCGATATTAGGTTCAATCACATGTCAGGAACATGCCTTACATCTTTCAACACAAGTCGGCACCCAATATCTGTGGTCAGGGTTACATCATCAACACCAACAATCTTGCTGGTCACTTGATTTCTTATCTTCACAACTCCAAAATCACCACCTCGGTAAGAGGAGAAAAAACCTTTGTGTGGAGTAACGTGGAAGGAGGCACCAGAGTCAACAATCCAGGTGCAGTCATTATATGCAACATTCAAATAATTATCCTCACCAAGGAGGAATATCTCAGCATCCGAGTTGGTAGCCACAGCAGTGGTGCTCTTGTCTTCCCTCTTCTTGGGAATAATCTGATCCGGCTTCACAGAGCCGTTCTTCTCGTCATTCTACAGGGTCCAGCAATCTGGCTTCTTATGTCATTTCTTCCCACAATAGAAGCACTTCAACTCATATTTCAGCTTTGACCGACCTCTGGACTTTCCTCTTCTATCACGATCTCGACCTCGGCTCTTGCTTCTACCCCAGGAGTCGGATTTCCCTCTCTCCTCAGCAACGTTTGCCTCAGACGTGCTCGAAACACCTCGTTCTCTTCTCCTGGCTTCTTCGTTCAGGACACTGTCTGTCACGACATCCATCTTCAATTTTCCATTTGGAGTCGAATTACTCAAGGTCACCACCAGAGTATCCCAGCGTTCTAGCAGCGAGCTCAACAGCAGCAAAGCCAAATCTTGTCATCAATTTTTATCTCAGCCTTTGACAGCTGATTCACAATACCTTTGTAGGTGTTGAGGTGTTCAATCATGCTAATGTCGTCCTTGTATTCCAGCTTCACAAGTCGGCGAACCAAGTGTGATTTGTTCCTGGGAGTCTTCTTCTGAATCATGGACTCTGACTTTGTCTACAACTCGTACGCGTTCGTGAACTCGGACACGTGCTCAAAGACACTTTTATCTATATATTTTCTGATTGTAGCTACCGTCTTACGACTCTGAATCTCCCACTCCTTATCGATTTTGCCTGCCGGTTTCTTATCAAGGATAATGGGCTCATGTAAATCTTTACAATAGAGATGATCATCGGTCTCCAATAGGTGAAATTGTATGCAGTTAGCTTGAACATATCTCCATCATGAGTTATGCCACTGGTCTCCATCTCGTCTCCCTCAAAACCCGTTGAACTCGAGCTCTGATACCACTATTCGGAACTCGGTTCCCTCAAGCTCGGCTAAGAAGCCTTTTCGCGGAAGTCAATCAACAAGATCCTGGATCTCGGATCTCGACAATTACCTCGACCTGAACTTCACCAGGTCGGGCAGTGCAGCGAAAAATCAAAAACGCAAACAGGAGAGAGAGAAGAAGAACACAAACAGATTTTAACGCGGGAAAACCTTCTCCAATGAAGAAGTAAAAACCTACGGGACCTAGTCCAGATCAAATGTCCACTATGAAAATAATGGATACAAGAATCAAAATTCACCAAAGTGGTGGTTAACACAACCTCTCCAACAATGGTGATAATCAAATCGACCCTAAAAATGTTTCACTCAAACTCTCTCTAGAGATCTCTCAAATACAAAGCTTAAAGCTTTGCTCTCAAATATCTCAAATAATTCTCTCTCAAATTTTTTTCTCTCTTCTAACCTAGCCTCCACCCACAACTAATGAATATATAAAGGAGGTGAGATCTAGGATTTATGGTTTATGGTTTTTGGAAAATCCCTCAATGGACTTGGATTTAGCATTGAAGGAGGAAGTCCAACAATGGATAATATAAATGGTCAATAAGCTTGGATTCAATAGTTAAGGAATCTTTTATATTGCGGGATGCTCGAATTCACCAAAAAACCATTTATGAGGAGAACCAACCTCAATACGTTGTACAACTATTAAACTTAAGTAGTATAAATGATTTTCCTAAGATATATAAAAATTGCACTAGCAATAACAATAATGCAATTTTACAGGCACATATATAGCAAAACGCCAAAACTAATCCTTTTTGTTAAAATCATATAGCAATTGATGCTATAAGCATGACACCAGCATGTGGAGGTTCACTTATCTAAGGAAAAAATAAAAATAAAAATCAAATGCCAGACTCCAAAATCTCCAGTTCAATATTACATGAAGAAATTTCAAACTATTAGTTCCTAGAGATGCTATTGGCAAATATCGTTTAATACTAGTTAAGACATTATAGGTAGGTAGGGCCACAGAATCTGAGACAACGATATGAAACTTGAAGATTATTATATATATATAATGTGCTATGAAAGCACGCAATAAACTAAAATATAAAATAAACTCTGACACATGAATAATCACTTTATTATGATACAAAAAGTAAGGCATACATGGCAAAATTAAAGGCAAAGAAAAATATCTTTCCGTCTCTATTAACAACTTTTGTTTAATTAATTGTCAAACATAAAATTTAGTCCGTTAAGCATTGTCCCCTTTACATGTTTTGTTCTTGCCACTTCCACCAACCAGCTTTGCTTTCTCATTCTCAGCCTATATAAATATTCAGACTCAAACATTCATTAATGTGCTACGTACTCAGACTCACTTTGAGTTGGTCAAAATTCCAAGTTTCAAGAGAAGGTTTAAAGCAAATGGAAAAGATGAACTTTGTTAAAAATAGAGTGACCAAATTGCCTCCTGGTTTTCGTTTTCAACCAACAGACGAAGAGCTTGTCTTTCAGTACTTGAAATGTAAGATCTTCTCGTGCCAGTTACCTGCTTCAATCATCCCTGAGATCAATGTCTGCAATTTCGATCCTTGGGATTTGCCAGGTAGCAAGGCTATAGTAACAATTTTCTTTTTCTTAAGAGAATATGTTAGAGAAATAAAAATTATTGACAGCTTTCACTTAACAACTTGAGTGGTCGGGTGAGATGGTTGTTTATTCAGAGAGACCGTGACCACGGAGTCATGTGTGTGGTGTAATATTCACGTTTCAAATTTAAAGTGTTCTAGTATTTAATTTACATGTGAAGATGTGTTAGATAAATATAAAAATCACTAATAGGTCTTTAATTACTAGTTTGAGTTGTTAAGTGAGATATTATTTATCATAATACCAGCATGTTGGATATATAATATAAAACTATTTTGGTCTTCAAGCTTGATAATTAATTTATGACATAATATCAAATTCTCAATAACTAAATGGCTTAAAAGTTCATTCTTAACAGTTCATTCTCAATAATATAAAACTATGATAGTCGCTATGCTAAGCTCTTGTATAGTGGTCTTACTGCTTGTAATTATAGCTTGACTATTCTAGTTCGATGTGTGTGTGTTTAGGAACTTGTGATCAACAAGAGAGGTACTTTTTCAGCTTTAAGGAGGCCAAGTATCGAAACGGTAATCGCATGAAACGAACAACAAACTCTGGCTATTGGAAGGCAACAGGAGCAGACAAAAGAATTTCATCATCAATAAGTAATGGTATTGTGGGAATAAGAAAAACTCTTGTATTTTATGAAGGGAAATCTCCAAATGGGTCTCGAACTGATTGGGTCATGCATGAATATCGCCTCATTAGTTTAGAAACAACTCCTTGTAATTCATCCCAGGTAATTAAATTCCAATTATTTTTGGGGCTGTAATGTAAAAAATATCTGGATTTGTATATGTGTAAATGTTTGCAACATATAAATTATATTAATCATACTTTACAAATATTTATATGTCAAATGCTTTTGTGTTTGCAGAACTATGCAAACGAGATAGGGGATTGGGTTCTGTGTCGCATATTCATGAAGAAAAGAAGTACAGAAAGTGATTGCAACAGTACTGCTCCTATGCTGAAGAACAATACAGTGATGAATGTTCAGGTGACTAAGCCAATATTCTATGATTTTATGAGGGTACACAAATCAGCTCTGGTTCCTATCCAGTCTTCTACATCCTCATCTTGTTCAAGCACTAGTGACATTATAGAGGTCTCTTCATCAGACCTCGAAGAAACAAGTGCCTATGCTGACTGTTAAGTGCAGTACTATTATCTCTTCCTTTTAATTATCTGCAAATGTACGTGTTCATGTCTGTGATATATTCATTAAGGAAAATGGATCATATCTCAGAGAATATTCACAGATTTGCTTCTAATTAAAATGGAACATACATTTCTGGATGTCTTTGTTCCCTGTGACCCTGTCACACTATTTTGTGTAACCCGCAGATTTGTAAACCTAGTTTTAAAACTTAACTTTTTATTAATGTAGATAATAGAATAAATTTAATCCATAAAAAAATTAATAAATTTAACCCTCAATGCATGCGTAAGAATCTCTCTCGTAAAATGTTAACATGCACAATTAATTAAATAAATTTAAGGAATTGAATTGCCGAATTTTGAATCACATGGAAATCTACAATTGGTTATATATATTTAACGAGGATTTTAGCATTTTATTCAAATTAAAAAAATGTTAAAATACCATTATCCTTGTCTTGTCTTTTTTCTCTCTTTATTAATATTAGTAATCAACTGGCAATTCGGATAATTCAAAATATGATATAATAATTGAGGGAGCGATTAGAGATTTTTTTTTTGGGTAACTATTAGAGATATTATTTTGATTTGCTTCAATATCTATTTAACGCATATAATGTTATTTTAAGGAATTTTTTTATAGAAAAAACTTATAATAAATTATATCACTTTTATACTTTTATCATGAAATCATTTTCCAATACAATTATCTCCAAAAGTTTACGCTAGCAAACCATAAGAGACAACACACACACAAGTATCCCCCATTATTCTTTTAAAAGTTTCCACTCTAGTTTCCATTATTGAAAATGAAAGCACGGATTAATATAACAATTGAGTAAATGAATGGCACTTAGTGAAACTAATTCCCTAATCCAAAAGATTTTAAATGTTGTTCCACAAGTCAATTTGGTGTGAAATTAATAAAGAAGGTACTATCTCACATGTGTATATATTTTAATGTTTGATGACGTTATAGATATCCATCGACTATTGAGTTCAAATTTGTTTACTTACCACTTAAGCTTCCACTTACAAGTATCTCTTTGTCTCCAGTAAAATGCACTTTATCATTATTTACAAAAAAAAAAAAATGCACTTTATCATTTGAACATTGTTTCTAATTGGTTTTAGTTTTTTGACAGATAATTTTATATAATTTATATTTTAAAAATAATTAATTGAAATATATAATGACAAATAGTTATGTTCAATGTACCATAAAATAAATAGTTATGTTCATCGAAGAGATAAAAATGATTAATAATGTTAGGAATTTTGATTGACCAAGTATTGTATTTATGTTTTAATTCCATAATGTAGAAAAGATTGAGATATTTGAATTCATACCAAGTATATAGGATAAGTATTTTAGTAGATCAATTACTTACAATTCTAACAAATATATTTGTTAAATAATTCATTGGAAAGCTCGACAGAAAATTCTTCAAACACGGTTGCAGAAAAATTGCCATAACTAGAGGGATTTTTTTTTAGATCCCCGATAAGGAGATATTGATAATATTATTTATCTAGATTTGGTATATGACCCTTTGGTCACCTTGGCTCTTATATCATGATAAGCAACCAATTCAACTCAACAACTTAAGCTTAGTGTTGGGTCAAGTCGAACACTCAAGTCAATTGCGGAAGCGAAACAGTAAAATGTAAGAGGAGAGAGATGGAGAAGAACACGGTCAACTTGTTTAATGTGGGAAAACTTTCTCCAATGTGAAGAAGTAAAAACCCACAGGACACTAGTTCAGAATCAAACTTCCACTATAAGAATAATGGATTACAACAATCAAGTTTCCCTAGTCTTTCACTAGAGGTACAATCAAAATTCACCTACAATAGTGGTAATATCAAACTTCCCTAAAGAGGTCTCACTCAAACTTCTATCTAGAGGTATACAAATTCTTTTTCGTATCTCTAAACCTCACACACTACAAGCTTATATAGGGGAGGGAGATTATTCTAGATATTGAACCACTCAAAGGATGTGTACCTTGAGCCTTGCACCTTCATTTATGGAGAGACATTGAACCACTTAAAGGATATGACCCTTGAGCCTTGCACCAAAAATGGAGAGTTCCAACCTCTTGGGACTTGAGCCAAGCATTGGAGAAGGAACAACTCCCAACAAATCTCCCCCTTCCGACTTCAATGCGTCGGGATCAGCATCATTCTGACACCTTCACAGTAGTTTTCGAATTTTCTTGCTGATATGCCTCCAGCATATGTATAAATCTTAGCCAAAAAGAGAAAGAATCTTGATTAATCTTGAATAAAAAGGGAAGTAATTACTGTTAATTTGATAAATCTCAATCAGAGATCGTACAACTGATTTTCTTCTGATTTTGTAGGAAAAAAAGACAAACAGGAGCCCAAATTGGAAGCAGTAAACTGAAGCCCCAGGCTGATAGCGTGGGTGTGGCGCTAGTAGCGCCAGAAGAACTTTTCATCCGGAATCATCCACGCTGTTAGCGTGGAATTCGCACTAGTAGCGCCATACATTCTTGCATACCACGCTCATAGAGTGGGAACCATGCTAGTAGCGTGATCTTCCAGCTTTGTTAACAAAACTCCCACGCTGACAGCGTGAGATCCACACTAGTAGCGTGGGAGGTGCGGACAAATCAGTAACAAATCCTGTTCTGAATCAGTGAAAGTCTGAACCAAGATTTACGATAAAGATTTAATCAAGATATCTGAGTAAGACACAAAGTCTATAAATAGAGGCTTAGACTCCCATAGACAAAAATCTTTGGATGGAGAGAATTGTGAGGATCAAAGAATTCTTGGAGACTCGCACTGGAGATTAGAATTCCACCGGAGTTGAAGACTGAAGACCATTGAGTTTTTATTCTTCTTCTTCTTTTCTTCTTAGTTTATGAACAATTTTTATTCTTTGAATTTGTTAAAGCCAGCTATGTCTGGCTAGTTTTCTTTTTGTAGTTGGATCATGGACCCAATATGAATTCTTTATATTTCCTGTATTGTTTTTATAAGTTAATTAATTTGTTTGTTTTATTTTGTCTATGTTATTTTTTCCATATCCTTATTAGAATTGATCTCTCTAATTATAGGACTTTGAGGGTTTGGGTTCACAATAAACATATTGGAGTTTTAATTTGGACAAGGGTAGAATAACAATTTGTGCATGACCTAGACATAGGCTTACATAGATTGCATACTTTTAATTCATTTTCTTAATGCTCAATTCAAGAGGGATTACTAGGACACTAGGATTCTAATTGGGTTAAAGGGTTGAAATCATTAAGACATTAGGGTTCAACTATTTTATAAGAAAATAATGAATTGTCTGAACAAACGAATTAATTAATTATAAAATACAATATAGGAATATAAGGGAGGATCAGAGGTGAAGTGCATCCTGACTACAATTTTTTTACAATCTTTAATCAATCTCATATTTTTCGTTACGTTCTTGATCTTTTCTTGCATGCTTTTTAATATTATTGTTTTAAAATTCTATTTTTAAAATTCCAACAATCAATCACTTTCACAAATCAAAAAAATTTTCTTTTCCAACTTAAGGAGAATAGTTAAATTAATACTTGGTGCATTAATCCTCGAGGGAACGATCTTTACTTATCACTTTTATTACTTGAAACGAACGGTATACTTGCCGATTTCGCAACAAGTTTTTGGCGCCGTTGTCGGGGATTAATTACGTCAATATTATTTTTAACTTTCAATCTTTAGGATTGGAATTTTATTTTTTATTTTTTATTTTTTATTTTTTATTTTTAAAAAAATTAATTAGTTTTATTTTTTATTTTTTTATTTTATTTATTTCGGTTTTTTTTTTAAATTAATTACTTTTTTTTTTTACTAATTTGATTTCTCTCTTTTATGCGAGGTGAAGTTAACCGTGAATCTTTACAATTTGATCCAGAAATCGAGAAGACTACAAAGAAGAACAGGAAGCTAGCCAAGCTAAGGAAGCAAAAGGAATCCTTGAGTTCAGAGCCAAAAGCAGAACCCGAGATGACAGCTCCCAATCCACCACCGGAGGATGAATTGATGGAGTCAATCTTGGCTCCTCTTTTCACTAGGCCAAATTCTAGCATCGTCAGACCACCAATTGATGCTAACAATTTTGATATCCTGCCAACACTGATATCCTTGGTGGAGAAAAATCCATTTGGAGGGAAAGATTATGAAGACCCCCATGATTTCATTGACAGATTTCTAAGAATCTGTTATACAACCAAGCATCACGGGGTGTCAGATGACGCAATTAGACTCTGGTTATTCCCTTTTGCTGTAATAGGGAAGACTCTTAGATGGTTGGATAGACAAGCTCCCAACAGTATCAGAACATGGGATGAACTGGCGGCCAAATTCTTCGCTGAGCACTTTTCCATGGAGAAATACAACAAGTTGGTTAATGAAATTACCAACTTCACTCAACAGCCAGGAGAAACTCTATGTGCAGCTTGGACCGGATTCCAAGAATTGATCAGAAAGTGCCCCCAGTACGACTTGCCAGACGGAAAGAAAGTCAGAGTCTTCTATAATGGAATGACACCAGACTCTAGAATGGTTGTCAATGGTACAGCTGGTGGAACCATAGGAAAGAAGACAACAGCTCAAACTTTAGAGCTGATAGACTACATGGCAAGGCATGAGAATGCATCAATGGCAGTTCAACCACTTCAACCAATTCAACCAAGAAAGAGACTTCTGCAATTGGGAAACAATGATGCATCGGTAGCTGAACAAAAGATCATTCTCAATAGCTCGCTAGTTTGAATGCTAAGTTGGACAAGATGCTACTTTCTACAGCTCAAGTTAATTCAGTTAGCTGTGAGTATTGCAAAGGAGAGCACGAGACAAACGAGTGCCCCACACTTTTAGGAGCTGAATCGTTCCAAGTTAATGGAATTTGGTATGATCCAAAACCACAACAGAACTTCCAGAGAAACCAGACCAATGCTCCAGGAATAACTTCCAAAGGAGAATTCAAGGGGGAGGGTTGGATTACAAATCCAACCAATATTTACAACCTCCTCCAATTCCACAGATTCAACCATCTGAATTAGAAAGAGCTTTACTGTAGTTGACAAAGACCACCGACGAATTCATGCAAGAGACCATATTCGCTTTCAAGAATCACGAAGCAGCTATAAGGAATCTGGAAACTCAGATAGGCCAATTGTCTAGGCAAGTAGCTGAGAGAAGTCCAGGAACATTCCCCAGTGACACCATAATCAACCCAAGGGAGCACTGTAATGGCATCACTACTAAAAGCGATGATCTAGAAAAAGATAAAGTTCAAGCTTCTACAGGCAAGGATGAGCACACTCAAGAAGGCAAGGAAAAAGCAAAAGAGCAACCTCCTGTAGTTCAGAAAAAGCAATGGGATTTCTCATATTTTAAGAAACTTCCATATCCCATGGGGAGCAAGCAACATGAACAAAGGAAGCAATTGTCTAAATTTTTAGATATTTTTAAGAAATTACAAATTAACATTCCTTTTGCAGAAGCTCTGCAGAAAATGCCTTCGTATGCAAATTCCTGAAGGAGACATTGTCTAAAAAGTGAAAGCTCACTGAGGATGAACCTGTTACACTAACAAAGGAGTACAGTGCAATCATACAAAAGAACTTGCCTCCAAAGTTGAAGAATCCAGGGAGCTTCAGTATTCCATGCACCATTGGCAAAACGACTATAGAGAAAGTCTTATACGATTTTGGTGCCAGCATAATGTGATGCCCCTCACCCTTATGAAAAAGCTGGGAATTAATGAAGTAAAGCCAACGAGGATGAAGGTTCAACTGGTCGATCGCTCAACAAAGCAAGCACATGGTATTGTGGAAGATGTGCTCGTCAAAGTAAACAAATTTCTAATTCCTGTTGATTTTGTTATTCTTGACATTGATGAAGATGCCAGTGTGCCTATAATTTTCGGGAAACCATTCCTAGCAACCTCAGGAGCGCTAATTGATGTACCTAAGGGTGAATTGATAATGCGCGTGGATGGAGAGCAAGCAACATTCAAGGTACTTACAATTGAAGCTCCATTACAAGCATTGATAAACCCTTAGTTTACCATGTTTTTAGGCTTAATTCTGATTGATAAATGTTGTGAATTGCATGGAAATTAGGGTTTTATGCTGTAAAAGTTACAGTAATTGAATATCTTGCTAACATGTTGTCGTAATGTTGAATTACAAGGTTTTTAACACTTATTATGGCAATTTGGAACCAAAGGAAGACATCAAGTGAAGATGAAGTCACAAGAAGGCAAGAATTCAAGGATCCACCTCTGGAAGAGCATGTTTTGGCGTGCTAATTCACGCTAAAACGTCCACAAAGCATCCCAAAACCCTTCGAACAGCACGTTTTGGCGTGCTACTGGACCCCAAAACATGCTAAGACAGACAGCAACAAGTAATTCAACAACAAAAATCCACCCAAGAGCTGCTGAAGGTTCAAAGGAAAATTTGATCAAGATACGCAACAAATTCCATGAAGATTTAAAGAAAATTTGTTCAGATAGGATATGGAACTTAAACGGAAACAAATCAAGATGATTCCTGAGAAGATTGAAGCAAGATACAACGAAGATTTAAAACTCTAATTCATCAACCAAATCTCTAAGATTTTACATGAAAAAGGAAACAAAGATGAAATCAAATACAAATCTTGTATGGATTCATTGGAAGATTAGATGATGGATATAACTCCTGTGGTTATAAATAAGGAGCTTGGGGTCAAGACCCATTCACCAATTCATTCATCTCATTCATACTCCAAGGAGGAATCCTGTTGTGGAGCTACTGGAACACTGAGGAACCAAGTCAACATCACACCAATGGAGGCTTGGGGTTCTCTTTTCTTTATTGTTATTTTTCTTTTCAGTATGCTAGAGTAGTTTTTTTATGTAGTTAAGGGTAGATGGAACCCAATTGAATCTTTATGTTTATGAATTAAATTGTCTCTGAATTCTGTTCTTTTTATAATTGAATAAATTATCTGTTTTTAATGTTTTCTATGAGTTTGTTCCTTATAGAATGATTTTGGGGAATTGTATGGCAATAGAGACGTTTGTGCATGAACCTTGACTTGATAATTTATCATAATCCTTGTGTTCTAGGAATAGGAATAGGAATAGACATAAGGTAATTATACAATCTTGTAATTCTTGATCTTAATGCATGTTTTCTTAGTGAATAATCGGGGAACTAGAGTTCTTTTAAGATTACATAGATTTAGGGTAACAAGGAATTGAGCCCTAATTAACTTAGATAGAATTGATTGGCAATATATTAAGAAACAGATTCTTGACTGTTTAATTCATAACATATTGAGGATATTGGGGGAAGTCGAAACCTTAACTACGCTTTTCTTTAAATCTTAATCAAACATCATCTCATTCATTCTTTTAATTCTAGAATTTCATACTTGCATTGTTTTTAAATTTAGGTTCTTTGAACCGCAATTCTCTTCATCTAAATTCACTATTCTCTCAAACCCAACCTTTGATTGTCCAACTAAAACGCAATTAGTGAACTAGTGCTTGAAATTCTGATCCTCGTGGGAACGATCTCGTACTCAGTACACTTTATTACTTTCATGATCGATGCACTTGCCGTGTCGCTATCAAGCATCTCAACCCAAAAATCAAGTTAACTATATTGCAGAGAAAAAGGTTGAGGAAGGGAATAAGAAGGAAGTCCATCAGCGGCATGAAGAGAGCAAGCCAAAGGCTAAGATGGAATAGCTCAAAAGTAAGGAAAAACTTGTGAAAACTAAGTTTAAAGTTCTTGAGAAACCTCCTCCTCATCCATATGCATATGATCATGGAAGGACACAGTACTAGACCAAGAAGGCTGGGTCATCAATGATAGCGTTCTTCCAACCACCATAATCACATGGGGTACGTCAGGCTCGTGACGTTAAACAAGCGCTAATTGGGAGGCAACCCAATAGTAAAATTTTCTTATTTAATTATTTTATTTGATTAGGTTAGTTAAATTTTAACAAAGTCAAGTAATGGGTGAATTAGTGACCATATAGAAAAGTTTTAAATCTGGGAATTGGCGCTATTAGCGCTAACTTGGCGCTAGTAGCGCCACAAGACTGAAAAGAGACAGTAAGTCCGCGTTGACAGTGCCAGAATCCCTCGAAATATTCACGCTGACAGCGCAAGATCTGCGCTGTCAGCGCCAGAGGGTCAAAATCTTACAGTAGCTTAGCGCTAACAGCGCGAAGTCCATGCTATAAGCGCCAGAATCAAAAGTGCATGTCACACACTTCACCATTATTTTGACTTAGCATTTTATTTTTGCTGTTTGGAGTATTTTGTTTTAAGAGTTTGGGTTTAATTATGTCTCCTTTATTTCTACATGCTGAGTTATGATTATCTGATGATGTTTAACAAGTGTGTATGTGTGTGTGTTCCACCTGCGCAAAATTAGCTTCACTCAACTAGTTTAGTTTGTTGCTGAGGACAACAACGTTCTAAATCTGGGAATTTGGCGCATACTGTATGCGAGACCTTCTAACTGCGGAATAGTACAACAGAGACGTCTAACAGAAAAATTTTCTGTTGAAAAGGGGAGATATTTTAAACCTTTTCAATTTTTTTATTATTATTGTTGTTTTAATGCAATTAATTTTTTTTATTCAATTTTTTTAGAAAAAAATTCAAAATAGTGATTTCCTGAACAAGCGTTCCTAGATTTTACAAAGCTTACTCAGTAAGTAATTAGATTGAATCATAAGAAGCATGATATCTGTGGAGCATTTATTTGTTTTTATAATCTGAGAATGATGACTGCTCGTTTGTATAACTATTTTGGTGAAAATTCTTAGATAATGCTTTATGTGAAATTTTGAAATTTGATTCTAGTTTGAATTATAACTGTGGGGATTTGAGCCTAAACATAAATATTTTTTTCAGAGAGGCCTCACTGTAGTAGTTTTCTAGAACTTGAACTATTTATCTGGCTTGCATGCATTACTGACATGATAAAGGCATGTTTATTCTTGTTAACTTATAGCCAAACAGCCTACCTAGAAAGAATTTCCATTGTTAAGCCTTTTTGAGACTTAGACCAATTTATTCAAAAACCTGATGAAAATTACTTAACCATTTCTCCATGACACACCTTGAAAGAGATTGAAATGTTGATCAAAGGAAAAAGTCAAGGTACTTCTCAAAAGAAAAGTTAAGTAAGTTAAAAAAGGAAAAAAAAGAATGGTCTGCAAAAATGCAGCTTGAAAGAGAAAAGAAAGAAAACATATGCATACAAGAAAAAGAAAGAAAAAGGCAGTAAAAAAGGGAATAAGAATCCCGAATTGATGAAAAGCGGCAAAAATAAAGATTGAGAAGGAAGTAGTATTATAAATCTCAGTATTTCAGTCTCAAATTAATTAGCCTCTGTCCAAAATATTCTTACCCCCAAACCAGGCCAAGTTATAACCTACCAAAAACCTTTTGATCAGTCTATGCATGTCAAATGGGTTACTTAACCTT